GGGGGGGGGGGGGGGGTACACGTTACATCCTCGAAGCTGAAACGGATTAAGTACGTCTCGACTGAGGAAAACGACGAAATACTGGAAGACCTTGATTTCTAAAATCTCGTTAAAACAGTTGTAAATATGGTTCCAAGAGGAAAATTCAACCAACAGTCGGGCAATTTTGGTATGCAATAAAAAAAAATGGAACAAATTCTGTTAATTTTGTCTAAAATTAAGTGATTTTTTTAGGCAAATTTTGTGAATTTTCGAAAATTTGTGTTATGTTCCGAAAAATATTGGTTGTCCGGAAAATTTTTTTGACCCCTAAAATGGTACACTGACCGAAATTTTTTTGGCGACTAGTCGGGCAGAATCCCGAAATTTTTTTGGTACTAGTCGGGCAGAATCCCGAAAAGTCGGGCAATTTTCGTTCGGCCCCCCTAATTTTTTCCTTCCGGTACGCCCATGGGTCTCGCGCCTTCGGCGTTCGCTTCGCCCCCCCAAAAATGAAGGTCTGGCTACGCCACTGAGTATAAGTTTATATAGTTTAGTTTAGGTTTCTTCCTATAGCCACTGCACCAATAGGGATGAGTCTTACTATTTTAAAAATGTAGATATTGAAGGTGAGCTTATGTTTCAAACTTTGTATTTTTAGATTTTCGGAACAACTCGTATGGCGGCCCAGGTACACGCTACGTGAATTGGGGCGGACGTCCCTGCCATGGTAAAGTAGTTCGACATGTCTGTATCAACGGTATTGGTGATTTGAAGACCATTACAAGAGGACGTGAATTATTTGTGAATAAATTCCATTTAGATTATCAATATCTAGCTTTAGATTGTTTAGAAGAATGGCTGCACAACAAAACTTTGACTGATTATACTTTGCAATCAATGCCGTGAAATGATGCTTCTACAAGGACGTTTTTATTGCTGGATTTCAGTCATTAGGTCCAACGTCGGAAATAGTGTCACTGAAAGAAACAGAAATCTTAAACTACATCTCACTATTCTATTTATTTTGCTCCAAATACAAGAAAGAAATTACATTATTTTCTCACTGACAGCTTGTCTATAAATTTGGAAATATTTGTTCAGAAATCTTGGCTGGGTCGATAGAAGTTTACTTCTCTAAAGTTTTGAAATAAACAGATGTGTAGAAATACACGAATTAAAACAGCGGGTTAAATTTTAACCCAGGGTTAGCGCTAACCTAGACTTGCTCCAAGTCTCTCTTTGTGGACATCTATATATTGTACATCTATATTGTACGTTACATGAAAGAGAGACTTGGAGCAAGTCTAGCGCTAACCCACCTTTGAACAACCGGCCCCTGATGTTAAACTGCTGGTTGACCTGCTCTTGTATTTTATTGTTAGTCGATATAAGATAATATTTAATTAAATAGAATTTATTATCAAATAATGTATTATGTTATTTCAGTATTTCACCAGCAAATCTTCGATAATCATCGATATTGTAGATAATTGATAACAGTCGATAACTGTCCCTGTTGCCTTTATATGATATTATACATGAAGTGTGGTTCTCAATACGTCCACTGTACAGGTAAATCACAGGCTCAAAACCTGGTCGCCATATTGTTTTTGTATAAAATGATAAAATAAAGATTTTGAAGCGTTGTGTGTTTGAAGGTTTAAAATGCCTCTTCCTGCAGCTTTGCAAGCAAGATTAGCTAAACGTGGTCTGATAAAGACTGACGAGCCTGGTAAGCTGGAATAGTGTAGTTAATTAAAAGAAAAAATTGTGATTATATAGCACGCACTTTCAGAACACTGGTTAGTGGTTTCCACACGATTTTTGCAAATTTGAATATTTAGAGAAGGAGAACACGGATGCCAATCAAGTCTCGAGTGGAAAATGTCCAAATACTTCAAATCCATACCACGAGTGTTCTGAATATTGTCGTAAAAGATGGGGTTCACCAGCAGAAACCAACACAAATGAGGTCAGTATGGTTGTTTGTGTCCTATTAATACACCACTTGCAGATAAAAACATTCATTCTCACACATGAGACTTTCATGTTTGTCACGAGGTCTGGTAGGTTTCAATCTGATCTGCCAGTCGTGTATAAAAAGCTTAAGCTTGTTACAAACATACAAGTTTAACATGAGAAAAGTTCTGAAAAATACAAGCCAGTGTGGAAAGTTTGTATCGCGCGGCGGATATCTCCGGCGCGCGATTTTGATGATTTCTATATATTTACTATTAAATTTTCGAAATCTCCGGCGCGCAATTTCCAAACTTTCCAGTCTGGAATACAAGAACTTTGACATTTTGAGTGAAGGCCTTTTGTCAGGAAGTTAGCAGCCAATCGCTCAAAATGCCGAAGTTCTCCTGGTATTTTTCAGGCAGTTGCATTCCTAGCAATCTAAGACTTTCATAATATTGGCACTGGCACAGATTGTTCAAGATGATATGAGAATAGATGGCATATTGAGGCGGTTTTCCAGTCCTCGCATGAAGCTCCTCGCAGCTCGCTGTGAGTGCATGCATGAGCCCTTTATCCAATCGCAATGCAAAACAGTTTATTTTAATTAGATACAAGCACTCGCAGCGAGCTGCAAGGAGCTTTGTGCGAGGACTGGAAATCCGCCTTTATGCATCTCTATCTCAACATAATGATTGCAATGTTTGCTTGCCAGGCTCACTATCAACAAATGATGTTACCTCCTGGCTGGTTTCTTGTACCAGACAACACAAGTGGAGCAAGTTACTACTGGAACACAATGACCAACCAAGTGTCTTGGTTACATCCACTCAGTAAGTCTCAACTATTGCATAAACTAAACTAACTTTATTTATACTGGATAGCTCTATCAGTTCTCCTTAAAAGTCTAGTAAAGATCATCTCTTATTGATCCAGTGTTACTGCTGGGGGAATTGGAATACCTAAAAAACCTGTTACATTAAGCACTCTTATAGCAATTGTAACTGACATGAAATTGTTTTTTTTTCATTTTTAGACCCAAAAGCACAAATAACCAACCCAGTAATGTCCGACGGAAGAGGTATTGTCACAAAGTTAACCCTTAAACTTTATAACCTAAATTAACCCTTTTCAATCATTTGATTTGCTCTTTGTAGGTCATGAAGTGATGCCAAACACGGCAATTCCTTCACCTTTGGTTGGTTCTGATGAGAGAGAGCAAGTTTTAAATATTGGAAAACATCCCAGTCTTGTGAAGGTAGCTATAAGACGTGAAACCATTGTGCTGTAGAATGTCAAATTAGAATAGATAAAATGTTACAATTGTTTAATAATTGTTTCAGGGTTCACAGAAGAAAATGCAAGCAGCTGTCAAGAGAAAACAACAAGAACAAGGTGACATAGACTGTGTATTGAACTTTTCTACATATTATACAATATTCTCACTTTGAATGAAACTGCTGTTATAGAAGCAAGAGCGAGAAAAAAGAAGATGGACGATCTCGACCCACTAGATCCTGCTGCATACTCAGATGTACCCAGGTACACCCAGTTCTGACCAGATTTATTTGCAGATCTAGTACAGCCTGGAACTTATAGTATAACAGGGATTAACACACTTGTTGAATTGTTTAGAGGTACATGGTCAACAGGCTTGGTGGATAAAGGCGATGCCAAGACTGGTGTAGATACGACAGCCAATGGACCTCTGTTTCAACAAAGACCTTACCCAAGTCCTGGTGAAGTGTTACGAAGAAATGCTGCAATAAAATCTTGACAAGCAACTACTGTATGTATGTATATGACAAATACTATGTGTCTTGGGAAACTAAACATACAGTACTCTTGGTTTCTGATGACAAGTATAGCTGATCCAGGTGTCAAGGATGTGTTTGTTACTGAACCAACCTGAATCTACTAATCTGCTTGAAACAACATTTACACTATACCGGATACTTTCCGTAGCGACATGAAAAAACACTTAACCGTATCTTTTAGAAATGCTATTTTCAGGGGAATTTTTGCAATGGAGAGATGTTCACTCAGCTTCTGGAAGTTGTACATTTTGTATCGGATAGGTGCTTTTTCGCACCGCTACGGAAAGCAATCCGGTATACTGTAAACATAGCGTAAATCTTTGTACAGTGGAAGTACACAGATACAATTCAAGTTGATAACTTGATGGCCTAATTTTACCATTTTGGATTGTGAATATAATAATTACTGCACAAACATAAATGATCTGTTAATGAAAAAATAAATAAGGCACAAACAACTATTTACAATTCTGACATAAACATGACACAATTTATTATCAAACTGGCTTCCCCAGTTTGTCTTTGGCTTTGTCTCTTGCTTTATTTTGTTCTTGCACTTTAAAATGTGTGTAGCAAATTATGCCAAGTAGCGTCAGTACAACACCTATCATTTGGTTGAGTGATACAGGATCATGAAATATTAGGACACCTCCTGTTAGAGTAATACAGAACTTCAAATGACCAACCATATTATATCTAGAATTAGTCAAGGTGTGTAGATCTGTTTATGATAGTTAACAGCCAACAGTTGGGAGTTGAGAGACAAAACTGTCAAGAAACATGTAGATAGAGAAAAATAACAAAGTTGAATTAGTTGATTAATAATTAGACAACATGACACATAGTAGTTTTAGTGGGTAGACATTTTTTCCGTAGTAAAACTGTCAATGAAGGAAGATTACATGAGGTATACATAAAGGCAGGTTAAAATAAAAAAGTGAGATGCATTACAGCACATTGCAGCTTAACAGGAGTGAAAACACAGGAAACGGCAATACAAACAACATACAGGCAACAGTACTTCTTAATTGTGGGAACCACTGAGTATTTTCATAACATTCAATACAAACTCTGAATAAAGTAAGCATTTTGATTCAATGTTTCGACTTTATACAACGTCTCAAAACGTTGAATCAAAATGCTTACTTTATTCAGAGTTACCATTGTATAGTACTTCTTAAAATAAGTCAATTTTAAAAGGATACGTTACAGGCGAGGTATTTCCTATAATCCAATAAATTGATAAATTGACAGAAAAAGCTAAGACTCCAGATAAGATCACAAAACCCTAAAAATGATATTACTGATGAAACAGTAAACTGTACTGAGACATGAATATAATTTCCATTGCCAGATGGCAAATTCAGCAAGTGTCTATTCCATCTGTTATAAATCATGTAAGAACATATTAAATAAACATATAACACTTACAATGGCCTGTGGTGGCCAGTAGGTTAATAATCCTCCTGTCTCAAGTGGTGGTTCTCGTAATGGAAATATGAATGCCAGGACCAATGCAGAAAGTGGAGCCTAGCATTCAAAATAACATCAAAGTTGTGTGACAATGTTTTTGATGCAACGTTTAAATCAAAGGGAAAAGTCTTTAGATGCAGTAACACTGTCAGCCTTGTTTACATTTTGTATCCGATAACTTGATAACTACGTTTTATCAACCGTATATAATTTCCAGCTTTCAGAATAAATAAATGATCAAGAGCATGATCAAGCTTTGCAAGAACATACAACCTAGTTGAAGCAGTGTGGACTGAGTACTACATGTTTAACAAAATTAGGATTACCTGATAAAACAAAAGTTGCATCGAAGATAACTGATGCTCTTGCTGTTTACTGCCCACCAGCTGAAATATAAACAGTGGAAAATTGCATGATTTTACATTCAAAATTATTCACTTGCTACTCTGGTTTCAGTAAATGAATGCAATCTTTGAACAGATTACATTTGTGACCCAATCTCAAACAGTCACGGATAGATAGGGGTACAACTACGTGAAAAATACAAGCAGAAGTTCAAAACTTCTATTTGTGACTTCTCTATACTTACAACTTGATAGAGAGAGGTAACCAGCACCCCCAACAATGCATAGGTTGTTCCAAGAACATTAAACTTTACATCGTACCAGGAATTTAGAAATACACCAATAATTATTGGAAACTATAATAAACACGGACATGGTATATAGGTTTTACTAAACAGGGAGTTACAGAATAAGAAAATAATGTGAACAAAATAAGAAAATAATGTGAACAACTTTTATTTTATTTGAGTGCCACCAGAACCACTTTTGACCACATGCAAATTTGAGTTGAACCATGCATTTTGATCAAAATTCTTAGCATCAAGAAATGCATTGAACTAAAACCTTCATAAAAGCTGAATATTATTTCAATAAAAGAACGGATATGTTTCAATATAAAGTAGCAATATAAATAGATACATTAATTGGTTATTCTAATTAATTATTAACTTATTAATAGAGCAATTCGAAACAGTTTTATAGACTCAAGTTTCTAGACAAAATAAAACTAAAACCATTTTAAAATGCACTTTAAAATACATAAACGTATAAAAGCTTACTTACTATAGTCAACATAATTTTCATGGAATATTTTCTGCCATAGAATAATGTATGAATAAATAATATCGCCGGGGTCGTCATGACCTTTGCGACTTGATATGTGCCCACAGTATTATTTTGTAGACTTAAATTTGTAAAAACGACGAATCCACAGAAGCTTAAACATAGCGGGATCATTTCGCACAAAGGTATCTTCTTCGGTGTGAAAATATTGAGAAATATACAAACTTTAAGTCCCAGATATGTCATGAAGAAATGAATACAAGTGAGAGTAACATTTGGAAACTTGTAGTTCGTGTAAATCCATTTATTCGAGAAGACGATAGCGATACTCGAACACAGATTCCATAAGATGCATATCGTTAGTTTTGTAGGTGAGATCACTTTATTCCTCGACTCCATTGCTGTGATTGAATATAGCAAATACAGTATTAATTGTTTCAAAAAATATGCGCCATTCACATGTAAATTTATACAAGTACTTGGCCTTGGGAAACTGAAATTCGAACTGAAATTAGTGAAATGAACAATTGTTTTTGTTTATATTAATTGCTACTATTGTGTTTCCTCTTTCGAATCTGGGAGGTTCTTTTTTTCTGGATTTAATGAAATGTTTTCTTTTTAAAGTGGAAGCATTTCCAAAGGAAATTTGTGATTCCACTTGAAAAAATGTTTTTCGTTTTTCTGGATCAAATGAAATTCTGACTCTTAAAACGGAAGCATTATTGAGTCTGCGTTGTTTTTTGTCTGGTCAGTGACTTGGTGGAGTACTTCATCTTGTAATTTCGAAAGAATCCATCGTTACCATGGTTATCTGACGCGTAAACTTTTTTTTCAACATGGCGGATGACACGGAGTCAGAAATCGGAGATGCAACTGAAATAACAGATGAATCTTTTTTAAAAGAGTTCAATTCGACGGTGGAAATACAAAATGATGAAGTCGTCTCACAGCTTTCTGAAAATATAGACACACAGTCTTTACAGGAGGTGGAAAAGACGCAAGATGGCTCGGAAACTGAGGAAGTGAGTGAACTGTCTGTGAACAAATATAATTGTTTTTGTTTGTGGAAACACCACGTAAATTTATTACTGCAAATTATAAATTCATTATTATTTATTTATTTACGTGGTGTTTCCACAAACAAAAACAATTATATTTTATCGCCATGCAAACATTAACAAAGAACTTATTGTGAACAAATATATTTGGAAACTTATTTTGTGTTTGACCATTTGAGGTTCTCGTGTTTTAGTGCATTAAAACAATGTTTTATCTTGAATAAAACTAAAGTAGATTGCAACCACAATGTTACATTAGAAATTTATAAAAATGTTAATGTTTTAATGTTGTGTACTATTATTTTATATATAAGTATCAATTATCAAATTATAACATAATTAGGCTTAATATTAGTCGTTTATTTAAAGCCACTGCATGGGACATATTATGATTGACATGATTTGCCAATGGGTCATTCCAGAAAACATCCATACCACCCCCACGGAAGAAATTGAAAGTTAACCCCCCTACCCCCTTCGGATGTCCTAATACATTTACTATTATCAGAAACAATTTTGTCTCCCCTCCCCCTCCGGACGGCAGAAATTTCCTCCGTGGGGGGAGTGTGGATCTTTTCTGGAACGACCCAATAAGCTTATGAATTATTAATGAGTGTTTGAAAATTATTTAATTCCCTGTGCACCTGCTGTTTTAGGACTGGAGTTACTTGGAAGACATGATTGCCAATGGTTTATCTCAGCTTGGACGTTCTGCCGATGGCACAATGCAAGTCTTTCTATCACTGACATTAAATGTATGTAGATTTAAACTAACTTTATTTATACTGGGTAGCTCTATCAGTTCTAAACTGTTCTTCCTAGGGGTCCAGTAAGGATCATCTCTTATTGATTACTACAGGAAGAAACAAGTGGTATTTGGTAAAGTCAAACTAAAAAAGCAATCTTACTAGTAGGCCACTGTTAGACCATAAGCCCCAGTATCTCATTAAGTTCTGTAATCTCTAAAATTAATTTTATTATTTTGTAGAATTTTGATCTAATTGACATATCTATATTAAAGAACTACAAACATCTTCAGACAATCATTCTTTCAAATAACAAACTAACAGGTAGCAATTATAAAGACACAATAGTTTATTGTAGAATACTTCAGCAACCAGTGTTGCAAAGTTTGTATGTCAGAACTTATGACTAAAATTATTATTTTAAATAATTTTATTTTCAGATTTAAGTGTACTTGGCTGCATGGAAAGCTTAGTAAAGCTAGATGTTTCACACAATGAAGTGACAACTTTACTGGATTTTCAGCCTCCAAAGAATCTTGTAGTAAGTCAGTATAATGGGAATATGCATGTCTTGAAAATTATGCCTCACTCCCAAAATAATGTGTGCCTGGCTTAAAAATATATCTTGCCCTCTTAAAATATATGCCTTTCATGAAGATGTACCCTCCTAAAATCTTTCCTCCTCCCAGGAAAAATCTACACATCTTGAAAATCTGCACACCCCCAGAAAAATTTAAATCCCCCTGTAAGATTCATGCACACCCCCCCCCCAAAAAAAAGTCTGCATCTCCCCCTGTAATATATGCACCAGAACCCCTCCTGATCCTGGAACATATATGCACCACCCACCCACCCCTGTAAATATATATTGCATTGTTAATGGAAACAAAATTTATGGGCCCTTAATTTGTATAACCCTAATAGAATAACTATATTTCCATCTAGTCGTGATGTGCTTCTATTGTTTTGAATGCCCCACTGTTTTTCATACTATCCAATCTCTGGCTATTGAGTGGAATGTTTCATTTTCATTGCCGTCCAGTCATCATTATTCAGACTTATTCTCTTTTTCTGTTTGTTAAAAAAAGTCTTTCCTTTATGTAGGAAGTGAATTTTTGCCACAATGTAATTGAAGAACTTCCTGATCTCTCACAACACCGTCGTTTGGTGACGCTAATCTTGGATTGTATCCTTGTACCATCAAAAGCAAAGATGTATGTTAGCTAAGGAGAAGTAAACTCGTTTTCAATGACACAAACTACAGCAGCTTACATGTATCTGCACACATAAATATGAATTAGGAGTCAGATTTGCTAGCATTGCATCGAACAAACTGCCAGACTACTTTCCTTAGCGAAGTATTAGACAATAATATTGAAGAAATCAAAGGCTTGTCATCCTGTTATTGTTTAAAGAAGTTGAGTTTAGCTCACAACAGAATTCAACGTATCAGTGGTTTGACCAACTTACCTCTGACGCATCTTAATCTGGTAAGTATTTGATGATTTATACTAGAGAGATATCAAGTTGCAGCGTGGACCTAGCATAATATAAACCCTAATATTAAAATTCTCTTGATGTTTAGAGTCACAACAACATCAGGAAAATAGAAAATCTGGAAACGTTAAAGTATTTGAAGGTAACATTCTAACTGCAACTTAATTTTTAATGAATGCCGTTTAATTATTAATTAGTTGGTAATTAATGAAATGAGTGAAGAGAATATTCTATGATTTTTAGGTTCTTGATCTGTCGTGTAATATATCAGAAATTTGAAAGGATTACAAGAACACGAATTTTTACAGGAAATTAACCTCGAGGGAAATCAGGTAAAAGTAATCAAGTTGCTAGCGTTTTAGTTCTGAGAAATTACGAATTTTTGAGAAATCGTTTTTGAGAAGTTTTGGGAAATCAAAGTTTTATCAAGTGAATGCGTAACATTATTTTATAGATCATCGACATTGCTGAGATACGCTACATACGGGAACTTCGCCTTCTACGAAAGTTGAACTTTCAGAGAAATCCTATTCAAGAAATGTCAGATTACAGATTATCAATCTTGTTCAGACTTCAAATGTTGACATTCCTTGATGGCACGCCTGTCACTCCCAATGAGAAGGTAAAATATCACATCAATTTCTGTGAGCTATTTTGATTGTAGAATGCGTTACTGTAATTGGTATGTTACCCTCTTGAAATAGCGTTTACTTAATATGTACATTTCATTCTTAGGTCCATGCGACAAACATGTTCAACCCTCCTCGTGACGTCATAGCAGCACGTGATCACATGGTTCACGTGGTACGATCATTAATGCAACCTGCTAAAGTCTTTGACAGGTAGGTCGTGAATAAAGTGCCGTGGTTTGTGTCTGAACTTACCTGCAAATGAGTAACAGCACTTCGAACCACGTGTGAGTCTTTGAGATATCTTTTTCACGTACACACGTAAAAACGCACAAGTTGTAACAAGTCTGCAAACAAGTTGTTACAAGTCTGTTCACAAGCTGTCAACAAGTTGTCTTCGCACTGCTTGTTCCCAGTTTGTTGTAACAAGTTTGTAACAAGCTGTTAACAACTTGTAACAAGCTTCATGGCATTATCAGCCTTGTTACAAGATTGTTCTAACAAGTTTGTTACAGCCATGATATAACAAGGATGTTACAAGGTTGTCGACACAAGGTTGTAACAATCTTGTTATATCAAGCATGTAACAGACTTGTCAGAACAACCTTGCAACAAGTCTGATAATTTCGACAAGGTTGTTACAAGTTGTCAACAAGTTGTTCCAAACCTGTTGACAACTTGTGACACGCAGTGCGAATACATCTTGTTGACGGCTTGTTGGCAGACTTTCTACAAGATGTCAAGCACGGATTTTCTGGGGTGGGGGGTGGGGGGGGGGGG